ATCGGTAATCAAAAAACGCAAGTTAAATAACGATACACCTGTGAAATTGACTAAGAAGGAAAAGCAGACACAATTCAGAGCTGGTGCAAGTGAAGTTTAATTCTGCAGCAAAATTTGAAGAGGCTATTGGAAAAGTAATTCAACGTTGTGTATTAAGTTTGAATCACTGTATATCAAATGGTAGATTGTCTTAGGGAAAAACTTATTCAGAGAATGCTTTTTGTATAATTAGTTTTATTTCTGCATAATTTAGAATGTTAAAATTTTTAATACAATGTCACTATTCACTATTAGGAGAAGATTACAATTGTGATATAATTACTTTGATAGACATTAACTCCAGTAGATACTGTCCAGTCATCTATACAAACACTACGTATTTCAGACTGAAGAGACATAGCACAGAAGACGGGTTACAGAGGTGGCAAAGGGCTACAGGAAGGCTGGAGGAGCGGGCTGGGGAGTGTTGTCATCCAAGGACCAAGAGTCCTCACCACTGGAGCCCCATGTGCCCTCCCTGCTGAGCTGATGGGGACTCTGCTCTCCAGGGCTGCGGGGAGAGCCCCGCCCTGCTGATCTGCAGCTGCCCAGATGCCCGCCTCTCGCCAGTGACTGAAACTGCCTCTCAGGGGCTGAGGCCTGAGGCCCCCATGGTCCCTGTTGCTTATAGCTGCTGACGGGAACCCTCATTAGAAGCAGGTTAAAAAGCACGTTTACTTCTTCCTCTCACCCTGCAGTGTCCACCCACAAGGGCCTGCACTCTCAGAACCTTACGAGAAATGAAGTAGCAAAGGAGACGGGACAGACCCTGTGCAGGCTGGAGCACTGCGGGTCAGAGGAGACTCCAGCCCTCAAATGTGCACCTGAAAACAGGACACTGTCTAGACAAGGGTGGTCACGCACAGACCTCCATGATGCAGGAAAATGATCAACCTGTTTCCAGAGCACGTCTGTAGAGGAAAGTTCAGAGGAATTTGGTGGCAAGATCCATGATGGCAGTGCAGTTTCTTCTGTTGTCTTCCCTGCTTTGTCCAAATGCCTAATACATGGTGTGCACTCAAGAAATATTTGTAACTTGAAGGCAAGATATATTAAAGCACGATTTTTGTCTGGTTTATTACATTAGAAGTTTAAAATTTTACATTCAACCAGTGTTTTTTAGATTTTTCTGTAACTTTAATGTCAGTATGTAAAACAAAAACAAATATATAAAAAGTAACTGCACCACTAAGGCAATCTAGATTGCAAGCGAGTGATGGGAAAAAGAGTACAATGAGTCCTAATGAAGAGTGAGAAAGGTGAAGTGAAGGAGATGACGTCAATTTTAGTTTTGATCAAGGTACTGATTTGTGGAGGTATCTTTGAGACATCAATTGACCTCTGAATTTCAGACCCTATGCCTGTGAAACATTAAAGGAAAAATATCTCATAAAATTTACTTGAAGATTAAATGAAGATTCACACATATATGGAATATATTTTGTAAAGTGAAAAAGGCTGTCTATTAACTCATATGCTTCATAGATAAGATTTTGATGATGAGATTTGAGCTTATTATAAATATTGGTTAAGAGTTTGCATTTAAAAACAGGTAAAAATTTTAAAAGCCATTAGAAGAAAACCAGAATGGTTCAGGAGAGCTACCTACTGACTTCTTTAGCTCTCTTAATTGCATTCTTCTTCAAATCCCAGAGGTGATGTATCAACGGAAAGCTTTTCATCCACTCCCCTAGTGGACATGGTAAAACCAGGCATGATGTCACTTTCTTTCTTCTCTTTGTGCTCTTAACCTGACCACACACCACCAGCTCATCTAGGTGA